TAAGTGATCTCACCATGCATACATAATACAGCTTACTTTTTCACATAATATATTGTGTAATTCTTTGAAGGTTAACATTTAAATCTCCTTCATAGCAGATAACATTTGCATAGTATTCTGCTGAATGAATGAGTGCATCATAATTTATTTGTTCAGTCCTCTATTGATAGACACTTTGGTTGTCTCTCTTTCCTCCTCCCTCCCTTAGTCTCTCCTTCCTTCCCTCCTTCCTTTCTCTTTCTCTTTCTGCCTCTCTTTCTCCCTTCCTTCCTTCCTTTCTCTTCATTTCTCTCTGTCTCTATTTTTCTCTCTATTATGAACCATGATATGATAAATATCTCTGTTTATATACTGTGGCAAGTAGTTGCATTATATCCATGGTAAATGCCTAGCAGGAAGAGTGCCAAGTTACGAGGACACTCAGATAGCCCCGTGGGAAGGCCCATTTGGTGAGGAATGGAGCCTCCTTCTAATAAGTAGCATATGCCAGTCACATGAGTTTGCCACCTTGAAGTGAATCCTCCAGCACCAATTAAAATTTCAGATGACTGCAGTCCTAGTAATATCTGATTGCAGCTTCATGAGAGACCCTGAGCCTAAACCACCTAGCCAAGTCACTCTTGATTTCCTGACTCACGGAAGCCATGATGGTTTTTTTTTTTAAATATACTAGTTTTGGGGTAACATGTTAAGCACTATCAGATAACTAAAATACTTATGGCTTGGAACAGTGGTTGTCAACCCTGGACAGTGTTGCCCTTCAGGGACATTGGCAATGTCTGAAGACATTTTGGTCGTTCTACCTGGGGAGGATGCTACCGGCATTTAGTGGATAGAGGGCAGGAATGCTGCTAAACAGCCTATGGTGAACAGAAGAGTTCCCAACAACAACAACAAAATACGCAGCCCCAAATGTCAATGGTGCCAAAGTTAAGAAATCCTGAATCCTAGAATAACGTAAATAACATATTTTAAATAAGGTCTCACTCTGTCAACCAGGCTGATGTGCAGTGGCATGATCTCGGCTCACCGCAACCTCCGCCTTCTAGGTTCAAGCAATCCTCCCACCTCAACCTCCTGAGTAGCTAAGACTACAGGGGCGTGTGGTACCATGCTTGGCTAAATTTTTGTATTTTTCTAGTGACAGGGTTTCTCTGTCTTGTCTAGGCTAGTCTCAAACTCCTGGGCTCAAGCTATCTGCCTGCCTCAGCCTCCAAAAGTACTAGGATTAGAGAGGTGAGCCACCATGCCCGGCCCAAATATTTTCTTTCTTTCCTTCTCCTTTTCTTTCCTTCTTCTTTTGTCTCCTTTCTTTCCTTTTCTTTTCTTTTCTCCCCCCTCCACCCCCATCTCGCTCCCTCCCTCCAGCCCTCCCTCTCTTTCTTTCTTCTTTTTTTTTGGTGACAGATTCTCACTCTGTTACCCAGGCTGGAGTGCAGTGGTGCAATCATGGCTTACTGCAGCCTCAACCTTCTAAGATCAAGTGATCCTCCCACTTCAGCCTCCCAACTAGCTGGGATACAAACATGTACCACCACAACTGGCTATTTTTAAAAATTTTTTGTAGAGGTGGAGTCTCTTGATGTTGCCCAGGCTGGTCTCGTATTCCTGGGCTCAAGTGATCCTCCTGCCTCTAACTCCCAAAGTGTTGGGATTACAGGTATAAACCACTGTGCCTTGTCTCTATATCTTTTTCTTTTCTTCTTCTTCTTCTTCTTTTTTTTTTTTTCAAGGAAGGAGTCTTGTTCTACTATCCAGGCTGGAGTGCAGTGGCACAATCTTGGTTCACTGCAACCTCTGCCTCCCGGTTGAAGTGATTCTCCTGCCTCAGCCTCCCGAGTAGCTGGGATTACAGGCATGACCCACCGCACCTGGCTCCATATCGTTTTTAATCTTGGATTTTTAATCACTTTTACAGGCTCTTCAATGCTAACTGATGAAGCAAATCCTAACCAATGTAAAAACATATTTTTGCAATGAGATGCTAATGAGTCACACAACCTCTTCTGCAAGCTAGTTGAATTCCAAGATCCTGTACTTTTTGGAGTTTTGGAAAACAATATGTGAAATAGGTTATTATTTTAATTCTAACAATTTTTCTGTAGATCCTTCTGGATTATCTAGGGACACAATTGCATCATCTGGAAAAAGTGTGAATTTAAAAAATTCTCTCAAATTTTTATGACTTTTTTCTTAGTTTATTATTCTGGTTTGAGCCTCTAGTGAAATAATGCATAGCAGTGATAGTGGACCATTTTTGTCTTATTCTTGATGTCAAGGAGAAAGTTTTAAGTATTTCCTTAGGTGTGATGTTTGTCATAGGGTCTTTTTTTTTTTTTTTTTTTTTTTGGATATACTCTCAATCCAATTAAGGAAGTCCCTTTCTATTCAAATCGCTAAGGGTTTGCTTGTTTTTTCAATCATGAATGGAAATTGGATTTATCATTTGCTTTTTCTCAATCTATAGAAAAGCTCACATGGGAGAAAGAATAGTCTTTTCAGCAAATGGTGTGGGAGAGGACTAAATATCCACATTTAAAACAATAAAACTGGATCCCTACCTAACATCCATACACAAAAATTAGCTCAAGGTACAAGATAGACTTTAATATAAGTGCTGAAAATATAAACTTTTACTAGGTTGGTGCAAAAGTAATTGCAGTTTTTGCCACTACTTTCAATGGCAAAAACTGCAATTAGTTTTGTGCCAATGTAATAGAAGAAAACACAGGAATAAATTTTTGTGGTCTAGGTTGGGTAATCATTTCTTGAATAAGGCACCAAAAACACAAATAATAAAAAAGAAAATTGATAAGTTGCACCTCATCAAATTAATATCAATTGTGCTTCAAAGGCTGCCACTGAGAAAGTGAAAGGACAAGCAAAAGTAGTAAAAAATATTTTCCAATAAATCATTAAGACTAGTATCCAGAATATATAAAAAATTCTTACAACTCAATATCATTAGTCTGTTTATATGAAATGTCCCAAACTGGCTATCTATAGGGACAGAAAGCAGATTTGTGCTTTCCTAGGGTGGTAGAGAAGGGAAAATGGGGAGTATTTGCTAATGGGTAGAGTTTTCTTCTTAAAGTAGTGAAAATGTCTTAAAATTAGATGATGGTGATATTTGCTGACTCTGAAATTAAACTAAAAGTTGTCATATTTTATACTTTAAACAGGTGAAGTTTATGGACTCACCACAGGCTTGAGCTCAAGTGATACTTCCACCTCAAACTTCCAAGTAGCTGGGACCACAGACATGCCACCACACCTGACTCGTTTTTGTATTCTTTTTCTTTTTCTTTTTTTTTTTTTTTTTGTAGAGACAGTGTCTCGCTATGTTGCCTAGGCTGGTCTTTAACTCCTGAACTCAAGCGATCCCCCTGCCTCAGCCTTCCGAAAGTGCTGGGAATACAGGTGTGAGCCACCACACCTGGCCTAAAAAACAGCTTTGAGATGAAACTTGCATGTCATACAATTCATTCATTTAAAGTGTACAGTTCAGTGGTTTTTAGTATATTGACAGAGTTGTGCAGCCATCACCACAATTTAGCTTTAGAGTATTTTCATCTCCCCCAAAACTAACCTGTACAATGAGCTGGTACTCCCCATTCCCTCTTCCCAATACTCCTCTTCCCAGAACCACTAATCTATTTTCTATCTCTGTGGATTTACCTATTTGGGAGATTTCACATAAGGAAGTCATACAATATGTGATATCTCATGACCACTCCTGACTTGGCATGCTATCATTGTCATTCCTTTGAACTGTACATATTTGCAAACTCCACATTATATTATTGCTTTATATAGTCAAGATTCATTTGGATATATACACCTTAGGAACACCTTTGATATTTTAGTTTTGGTTACACTGAACTTAAATTTATCCGTGAAAAAGACATCTTACAATATTGAGTCTTCCTGTTGAAGAGAACAATATATTTTTTCATTGATTTAAGTTGTATGTTCTCCCAGTAGCACTTTAAAGTTTTATTCATCTAGGTTCTCTGTAGTTTTTGTTGAATACATACCTAGATATTGCTGCTTTTTGTATATTTTTTTCTTTTGGATAGTTGAGCCTTCTCGTCTTTATTAGAGTAGAGATGAGTGGTTTTGTCAGTGCTTTCTTTATGTGACCTGTGTAATAGGTAATTTTCCCTTAAGTCTGATATACAATATAAATAGGTACATAGATATATATGAAACAAGGAAAATTGATGACAAGAGCCAAATAGTGTTTCTGACAAATAATTCACAGAAGTCCAGGATTTTATTTTGATTCAAATTTTAAAAAATGAGAGAAGAAAGAAAAAAAAAAGATGTTTGTTTTTCAGCGTTTCCTGGGAGGTTTTCTCAATTTGTTACTTTCTTATCCATTACTTTACAGTTTCATGGGCTCTGGTCCATTTGTGTCAGAGCCAAGTTCATCTTGTTTTGAAGCCTGTACACTTACACACTTTTCTTGTAACTGGGAATGATTTCTCCTCACATTCTGATTCTCCTTCGAATCTCAGTTTAAGTGTCAACTCCTCTCCAAACCTCCCTGAGTGAAGTGGGCCTTTTCCTCCATTTTCTTTCACTGTACTACTTCATGCCCTGAGCACTCATCACAACCTAATAACATCTATTAACTGCTTTGTCTGTTTCAGACATACAATGTAGATTCTCAGTGCCTACCAGAGTACTTGGCACATACTATGCCTTCAGCACATAATTTTCAAAAAAATGAATTCAGATAAGGCAAATTTAATTTAAACTTCTAGTTAACTTATACTGAATGTATATGCCAGGCACAAGTCTTGGTGTATTTTACATATTACATTTGGCTGTCATCTAATTAGCTCAGAAGCTCGCAGACTCACAGTTCCAAAGTCCTCTCTAATCCTAGCAATTTTCTCCTCCCACCCGAGGGTCTTGTCCCGCCCCCCACATCTTCTTCAACCCTCACCCTTCTGGGAGCCCAGGCAGGGTTACCCGGTGGAGCCTTGCGGGACCGATGCGCATGCGCGGCCGATCTGCACATGCGCAATATTCGCGCTGCCGCCGCTGTCCCTGCCTGGTTGAGGTGGCAGCAAGGGGCGGGACGCGCAGCGCTATGGCCGAGGGCAGCGGGGAAGTGGTCGCAGTGTCTGCGACTGGGGCTGCCAACGGCCTCAACAATGGGGCAGGCGGGACCTCGGCGACGACCAACAACCCGCTGTCGCGCAAGCTGCATAAGATCCTGGAGACGCGGCTGGACAACGACAAGGTAACCGGGGCTGGTGGGGCCGGAGGCACAGGTTCCCGCGGGGCTGAGCCGGGCCAGGGGCGGTGTCTGTCAGGGACCCACCGCGGTCTCCCTCGTCCCGGCCGCAGAGCGACCGCGAGTGACCCCAGCCCTGCGGGCTCCGCTGCTCTGCGGGCGCCGGGGGTGGGGGGTGGGGTGAGAAAGGGGAGCCCCAGTAACCTTCGGAAAAGCGAAGGGGTTTCCTGTGTGTTCTCTCCACCTGAAAAGGTGCCTTCAAGACTCTCTGGATGGGATTGGTGAACTGCGGCGCCTCGAAAGGTGCCCTCCATACACTCCCGGAGGTGTTTGGCGGTGAGAGCCGGGAGACAGGAGGAGAGCACAGGACGGGATAGGAAATACATGCAGAAGAGCAGATTCCAAGATAAGGCAGTGCGAATGGGGGTCAGGAGACCAAGAGAGCATTGGTAGGGATAAGGGAGCGTTTCCGCCGACAAGTGACAACAGCTACAATAATTTGCAGCGGGAAAGAACTACCTTTGCCCATGGCTGAAATGAAGTTATATCTACTAGTTTTTTTTTGTTGTTAGCCAAGCGCTATGATTTGTGGGCTCAGGCTGTATTTCTTTAGAAGATAGACCGCATGCTCTCTCCCAAGTACCTCCTGACACTTAAGTTGGACTTTACAGTTGCTCACATACCCAGCCATCTCTTCTGTGTCCATGAGTCGCTAGGTAAATTGATCATGACAGTGTAACATAAAGAAGAACATATGTCAAAGTTAGAGAGTTTTACAGCTGAATGTGTAGGTAACTGAAAAATAGCTGTCAATAACAATTTGACTCCGGTATGTAACAAAATAACATTGCAATGTAATGAATAAGAAAGAAGGGCTCTGGGGGCTGCCACTTATTAGATAGAACCACTACATTTGTGCATTATGATTTGAGTAAGTCCCTTCACTAATCTCAGCTTCCGTTTAGGAATTAGGAATACTGCTAGTAACTTTCTCATGGTGGTTATTTGAGGACTCAGTGAGAGACTCCAGGTAAAGTCCTTTGCAAAGAGCCTGGCACTTACTGTTTCTTAACAAATATTTTATCATAAAATTTATGAAGTGTTTAATGTATCTCGTATTGATATTTATTATATCATTTAAGACTGCTACTTATTTTGATGTAGATAACATGGCCTTCTTTTTTTTTTTTTTTTTTTTTTTTTTTTTTTTTGAGACAGAGTTTCGCGCTTGTTGCCCAGGCTGGAGTGCAGTGGTGCAATCTCAGCTCACCCCAACCTCCGTCTCCCGAGTTCAAGTGATTCTTCTGCCTCAGCCTCCTGAGTAGCTGGGATTACAGGCATGCGCCACCACACCCGGCTAATTTTGTATTTTTAGTAGAGATGGGGTTTCTCCTTGTTGGTCAGGCGGGTTTCGAACTCCAGACCTCAGGTGATCTGCCCGCCTCGGCCTTCCAAAGTACTGGGGTTACAAGGCGTGAGCCAGAGGACCTGGCCACATGACCTTCTTTTTACCATGAGGAAAATAAAGCATGGAGAGAGTGCAGCTAGGTTGTCATACAACTAGTAACTGGTGGAACTGTAATTTACATTTGAGTCTGTGATTTCGTTCATTCAATATTACTGACTACTTCTTTGAACCAGACCTAAGGACATTTCAAGGCTATAGTCAAAAGAAACTGCTTCACTTTATGGGTTTTTTTTTTTCTTTTTCTTTTTTTTTGGTATGGTAAGTATTTATAGTTGTAAACATATTTTTGCTTCCCCTTAAATATTAAGTTGGATTTATATAAATAGCTTTACTATTTTTGTCAATCCAGCCAATATTTCAAAATAACATAACAGAAACATGAAAGGGTAAGCCTACTAGAATATATAGTAGTAGAGGTGTAGACATGTATATCTGCAAAATTTAGGGTACTATGGGGTGTCCTGGGCTTGGTTCTCTGCTCTCTCCTCCTTTCATGTTCTCTCTGTGAGAAAAATCTTGTACTTTCATAATTTTAAGTAGTAAAAAGCATGATTACTCTCAAATTTATGACTGTGTTTCTGACATAGACTGAGCTCCAGATTTGTAGAATCAGTTGTCTATACTGTACTTCCAATTGGATACTGATTGACATCATAGAACTTAACATGGGCGGAACTCTTGATTTTTCCCTAAACTGGTTCCACTCTCGCTAAAGAACATCACCATTTACCCCGTCAAGCAAGAAGCATATGAGTAATTTTGGATTCTTGTCACTTTTTTTTTTTTTACATCTCCTGTCAAATCCACAAACGTATCCTACTTTGAAAAAAATTTTTGGAATATCTTTTTTTTTTTTGAGACCACGTCTCACTCTGTCACCCAGGCTAGAGTCCAGTGGAGAGAACGTGGCTTTACTGCAGCCTCGATCTTGTGGGCTCAAGCGATCCTCCTGCCACGGCTTCCCAGGTAGCTAGGTCTACAGGCACATGCCACCATACCTGGCTAATTTTTTGATTTTTTGTAGAGATAGGGCCTCACTATGTTACCCAGGCTGGTCTTGACCTCCTGGCATCAAACTATCCTCCCAACTTGACCTCCCGAACTGCTGGGATTACAGATGTAAGCCACTGTGCCATGTTTTGGAATATCTCTTTTTCATTTGTACTACTGCCATCTTGGTCTAAGCCACTATCAAACCACACTTGGATTATTTTAGTTTTTTCTCTTTCCTACCTCCTTTCTTGTACCCCTCTACCATTCATTTCCCTTACAAAGTTGAATACACTTTTATAAATGTAAATTGTATTATATTACTCCGCTGCCTAAAATCGTAATAATTTCTCATAGCTTCAGTCATAGTGGCCTTCCTTCTACCACTTTAGGGTCTTTGTACTCACTGTTTGCTCTCTCTGTGGAAGGCGTTGTCTCCATGACTGGCTGTTGCCTACCACTGAGGCCTCAGTTCACAGTCACTTCAGAGAGGCCTTCGCCTTTAAGTTCTTCCAAGTTCTGCTTCCAGTTATTCAGTTTCTAGCCTGGAGGCTTCCAGTACTTATTCTTAAATAGATCGTTCCAGAGATAGTTTAATGTGTACCTTATATATGTGTAAACTAGGTATACGCAAGGAAATATGCATGTATATATTCCTTTTAAGTTTTTAACTGTTGGTATTATAACTGTTTCTATGCCTTGATGTTTCACTTACCATATCTCAAAGCTTATACTATGTAAGTGCATAAAGATTTTTTTTTGTAAATAAGTATATCATAATTTATTTAACCAATCCCTTTTAGATGGACATTTAGATTATTTCTAGTCTTTGCAATTCCAAACAATTCTGCAATGAATAATCTTGTATATGTAACACTATACACAAGTAAGTAGACCCTTATTATGTTCTGGAAATAAGCATGCTTCAGTAATTTGAAGGTCCTTCAATATTTTTTGGATTGTTTAATGAAAACAAATCATTTGAAAATGATTTCATTACATTTTGTCTTGAGATTAGGAAAACATTTAAAAATTAGTTCCAGTAATTGTCTTCTGTTACCAATTGTATAGGAGATGTTAGAAGCTCTCAAGGCACTTTCAACCTTTTTTGTTGAAAATAGTCTGAGAACTCGAAGAAATTTACGTGGAGATATTGAACGTAAAAGTTTAGCCATCAATGAAGAATTTGTAAGCATTTTCAAGGAAGTGAAGGAGGTATGTAAACTCTTTTCATTTAGCATATATTGAGAACTTACTGTTATGTCTGACTCTGTGCTAAGTATTTTTTTGAATTAGATTGATATATTTGCTATTCGTATACTATGCCCAAATAGAAAACTTAGCTAATTTCTCTTGCTGCATTTGGGTCTTTATTTGTATTAATGTGATTTATGAATCTGTGACTTCCACAAATATTAATTCTTAGAAAGTTGTAACATTGTTCTAGAAGATTATCTTAGGAATTTTAGCTTTTTTAACAAAAATATTAACATTTCCCTGAATGGCTTTCCAATAGAAATATCCTCTCATCGAATAAACCTCTCTTGGATAACAACTTCTCTATTGGAGATTAATTAGAATTGAGTTACTTTTACTATATTCTAAAATATGAAAATTTCAGATTAATATCAGTAACTTCAATGTATTAATAATGATTCATCATACTTGAGAGTATAGTCCACTTGCCATAGAGTGAAAATAAATTTTGTTTATGTTATTATATCTTATTTTTTATGTAATATTTTTATTAACTGTATTAATACATTGTAATAGTAATATATTTCTCTGTGAGTTATGGAAGTGTTGCACATGGTTTCAATGAGTGTTCAATAAAAATAGATTGTTTTAACACCTTGGTAGATTTTTATTGACTGAAGACTAATAATTTGGAAAGGATTTCTTTTTATTACATTAGAGATGGAATCTTGCTATGTTGCCCAGGCTGGAGTGCAGTGGCTGTTTCCAGATATGATCACAGTACACTATAGCATCGAACTCCTGGGCTCACTCAATTCTCGCACCTTAGTCTCCCAAGTAACTGGGACTACAGGTGTGTGCCACCATGCCTGGCTCTTTTAAACATCATTTCCTACTAAAAGGAACAATCTTATCAGTATCAGAAAGCAAAGATGCTATCTGAGACTATTGGATAAATGTCAAAAGGACTTTGGAGCTAATATGAAGAGGATTCTTCTACTGGCCAAATATAGGGCTATTTAAACATCAATAAGAATAACTGCAATTGAATAACTCTAGGAATAAAGGGATATTCAGTTTTATAAAGCATTTGCCATTTTCCTGTGGTCATATTCTCTAAAAGGAATGTACTATTTTCTTTACAGTTTTTCTAACACTAGATGTTATTCTTTTTAATCATTTCCAGTTTTAAATATGGGATCTCTTGTCATACCTTGACCAAAAAAAAATTTATGTAACTAAAATAAGGATTTAGCTAAGAGAAGAGAACCTTCTTCTTACTGTATATATGATGTATGATGTTACTTTTCTCCTTTTCAGGAACTTGAAAGCATAAGTGAAGATGTTCAAGCAATGAGCAACTGTTGTCAAGATATGACAAGTCGACTACAGGTATTGTATAATGGCCAGATTTTGGCATAGTTCCTGCTATAAACTTTCAAAAATTATTAGGTCTACAAAATGTATAGATATCTAATCCATAATGCCCTGTAGGAAATTTGGGTATAAATATAATCCTTATTTTTAAAAATTTTAGATATCTTTGTGTTTCTTTGGATAATGATTTATTAATATTGTTCAATTGACTTTAGAGCATTTATATTTTGGTCTAGCCAGTACAGAGCTAACTATGTAGAATTGTGATAAACCTTTCAATTCCATAATATTCTAGAAATCTAGGAGGAATGATTTTCTTTTAGTACGAAGCCTTAGGATTAATTTCACACTAAAGCTGTGCCTGATAAAGACCCAGCTTAATTCTGATTTATGCATAGCCTTAAAACAATTCTGGGAAAATATGTATAATTTTAGGTCTTTTAATGAAAGCAGTCCTAAACTTACAATTTGGCAGCAGAATCAGCATTTTGACTTAATTACCCTCAGTCATCTAATTTTGGAGTAGTACATAGAACAGTTTCCTCCTGAGGGCCAATCATGATTACGTCTACTACCTTCACATTTTAAGAGCTAGCTTCTATCTCTAAGTGTCTCCTGGAACCATTGACATCAACAGTGATTCTAGGAAGAATCATTAATGCATATTCTATAGATTAATCACAGGCTACTTGCATCATCAGTTTGCAGGACTAGTTAATTTCTTGTTTCTCTAAAATTTTATCTTTTCTGGTCTTGTCTAAATTTTGATATTCTTACTAACCTATCAGATATTATTGGCATGTTTATTGTCTCTCAGTCCAATATTTAGGTATTTGTTAATTTGACAATATTTAAATAATTATATAGTATATACTAATTATTAATGGCCATTTCACATTTTTGGCATATATTTACTTTATTCCTCAGTGGTTGATTTTTGTTTGACCCTTCTTTTTCTTTAACTTTTTTATTTCCTTTTATCATCTTTTAGTCTCCATAATGTAATGCCTTTCCTCAAATTACACTTTATAATGTTTTCTATATTGTACCTTTGTTTTTTTAAATAATATCATGCTCTGTAATATTAGACTACTCAGTTTCCAACTTTTAGTGGTAGTATCTCTTATTTTTTAATTTGTACCCTTATATTTTTATACTTTTCATCATAGAAAGTTTTAAATATAAAAAGATCATAGTATTTTTATTCTTCATGCCATTTTTCAAATAGTTTATAAATATTTTAAATTACAACCGAAGTGTCTCCTTCTGTTTTGTCCTTTGTATTTTTTTTTTGAGACAGAGTCTCACTCTATCCTCAGTGGCGCGATCTTGGCTCACAGCAACCTCCACCTTCTGGGTTCAAGTAATTCTGTCTCAGCCTCCCAGGTAGCTGGGATTGCAGGCGCCTGACACCATGCCTGGCTAATTTTTGTATTTTTAATAGAGGCAGGATTTCGCCATGTTGTCCAGGCTGGTCTCAAACTCCTGACCTCAAGTGATCTGCCTGCCTCGGCCTCCCAAAGTGCTGGGATTACAGACATGAGCCACCATGCCCGGCCAGTCCTTTATATTTTCTTTGCACCCACCTTACATCCTGTTTTTTCTTCTATAGTGACATGGGCCTATTTTCTTTCTTTATTCAGGTCAACTTTATTGAGGAATAATTTATGAATGGTAATAAACTGCACCCATTCAAAGTGTTTATATTGATAGGCTTGACAGTTTTATACACCTGTGAAACAACAACCATAATCAAGATAGAGAACATTTTTATCACCTATAAAAGATTCCCTCATAGCTTTTTGATTGAATATTTAAAAATATTTGATACTGCCTATTGTTTACATTCATTTTTGATCCACATATCATTTCTAATAGTAGGAGGTCCATGATTTTGAAAGTTTTGTTTATTCCTTCAAATTATGCTTAAAGGTAATTTATTTGGAGATAGCACTATTGGAATTCTAACAGTATATGTTCATAATATCAACTCTAATGTTCTTAAGTTATTCATTCATAAAGAAAAGTTTTTCTTAGAGTATCCTCTCTGTTTTTCTTATAGAATGTTGTTATAATGATTCATTTAATTATTTAATATTTTCTGAAATGCTTTGACTATGGTACCTTTTAGAAATTATTAGAAAACATTTAAAAATGTAATCGGTAGTTTCATATATGTTATTGTTTATTCCTTTGTGGTTTTCCTTGGATAAATTACATTTAGATGCATATGTTTATTATTAATTCAACAATAATCATCTTTAACATTTAAGATAAATGGAAATTGAGATTAATAATCTTCATTAATATTATTAAATATTACTTTGGAATTCTTACCATAGTTTATAAATGAAAAAAATCAGGACATATGCAAAAAATATTTGCAAATTCTTATTATATAACATTGTGCTAAAGTATCATATTTCATTGATTAATAAATGGTGTTAATTATAAGGTGCACCCTCAATAATGACTGGAGTAAAAAGCTAGTAAATGTTTTTTGATACTGATTTTGTGAAGCATTCTTTTTTTCAGAAATATTAAAATGTAAATATATTTTTGACTTGAGGGGGGATACTATATTTTAAAAATTGCATAAGGCCAGGCTGTACAAGGTGGAAATGGAACTTTAGAGTTTAAGAAGTATAAGCATTTGAAGAAGTTATTGGCAGTCTCATAATTCTAAAAGAGTACCTTGGGAGCTATCATGTTGAGCTCCATTCCTTAAAAGTCAGTGAAATGGCTGGGCATGGTGGCTCACACCCATAATCTTAGCATTTTGGGAGGCTGAGGCAGAAGGATCCTTTGTGACCAGTCTGGGCAACGTAGCAAGGCCCCATCTCTACCAAAAACTTTTAATAAGTTAGCCAGGCATGGTGGCACATGCCTGTAGTCATAGCTATTCTAGAGGCTTAGGTGGGAGGATTGCTTGGGCCCAGAGGTCAAGACTGCAGTGACTCAAGATTGCACCACCGTATTCCAGGCTGGGTGACAGAGTGAGACCCTGTGTCTTTAAAAACAAATAATAATAATAAAGATAAGTGATATGCAGAATTACCTAGGTTCAAATCTATTTTCTTAAAATATCTATTTCCTGGGAACATACACTCAAAATAGCTTCATTTGAGGTGGCAATCAGGCTCTGTTATTGACAGGATACCTAGAAAGCAATAAGAGAATTTTCCTCACAGTCTGAAAACTGAGTTTGTAGAGGATTAGGCCTCTAAAAACCCAGAACTGGAGGTGTCTAGGTCTAAGGCAGTGCTAGAAAGAAACCTTAGCAACAGGCCAGGCGCAGTGGCTCACGCCTGTAATCCTAGCACTTTGGGAGGCCGAGGCAGGCAGATCACGAGGTCAGGAGATTGAGACCATCTTGGTTAACACGGTGAAACCCCTTCTCTACTGAAAATACAAAAAATTAGCCGGGAGTGGTGGCGGGCGCTTGTAGTCCCAGCTACTCAGGAGGCTGAGGCAGGAGAATGGCTTGAACCCGGGAGGCAGAGCTTGCAGTGAGCTGAGATCGCGCCACTGCACTCCATCCAGCCTGGGCGACAGAGCGAGACTCTGTCTTAAAAAAAAAAAAAAAAAAGAAAGAAAGAAACCTTAGCAACAGAAGCTTCACTCTTTATTATGGTGTTCTAACATGAAAATGACCCAGTGTCTTCAGGTGTTTGCGCTGGTATTTTCTCTTTAACAGACTGACTCACCTTCTATTTTATGTGTTTTTCTCTACTTCACTAATGACATAATTTATGCATCTTTCTGGCTCATTTAATTTTTCTTCAAGGCATGGACTCTATTTCTGTACATGCCTCATGACCACTTGCTTCTCTTCTTGTTGTTTATTGCCTTAGTTTTGTAATATTCCCCAGTTCAGATCTTTGAGAGAGAATCTTATTGTCTTTTGTTTAAAGCCACTTCATGAATGTGTTCTAATCTTTGGATAAAATACTTTCTTAATTGACTTTTCACTCTTGATCCTTTCAACTCTGGCTTAGGGAAGAGAGAATTGCTTAGAATGAAAGTTGGTTAGGAATAGCCTTGTGTCCTTTAGATGGGGCTAGCTCTGATCCTCACCAAAAACTTATATGGCAGGTAGTTTGTATATTACAACTTTCAAATTTTTACCTCCGTCTTACACTTTTCTGTTGTTGAGCTCCACACTTCCTTTGCAGTGACTTAGTTAACAACCCCATGTAGAGGTTGCATGGTATCTCAGTTCAACATGTCCCTACCTGAAGTCATGTTCTTCATGCTTAACTTGTTCTTCCAGTGCTTCTGTTGCACTGAAAAGCATCACGAACTATTAAGTTCTTTAGTCAGCATCTGGATACCTTTTTCTTTCTTGTAAGCCTTAGCATTATGTGTATATTAAGAACTCTTGAGTGTGTTCCTCCAGTGGATGAGGCTTGAAACATCTACGTTATTTCATTTTTTTGTGCTTTTCTTTTGCGTTCCGTAGAGTGATCTCATTTGTTTTAAGTCTAAATTTCAGTAAGTGGTAGTTTTGTTTTCTGAAATAAAATAAAATTGGAATGTACTTATATTAGATATGTTTATAATTTTAGGCAGCAAAGGAACAGACTCAAGATTTAATAGTAAAAACCACAAAGCTTCAATCTGAAAGGTAAGTTTTTCTTCATACAGCCACCTTTTCAATAATTTGGAGATTGGAGTCAAAGAAAATTAGATATAACTCCAAATCAAAATTAAAGCAGAATAATAACATGGTTCATAAGGTCCCAAGCTACTATATTATCCAGTAGTAACTTTAGCATAAAGACAGTAGTTTAGGAGCATTAAGCTTGATATTGGGTTGAGAGATTATTCCTTCTTTGGGAGAGAGGTGATGATGTATTGTTATTGTTTGCTGCGGAGTTCAGAAATGATTGCTTTTTAAAATGTAAATTTTTTCAGATTTTTAATAGTTTTACTACTTTTTTTTCACAATCATTGTCTTTTATTTTTAAGCTATGATATATTCTCTCTGGTATAATTAAGAGTTAATTATATAAATTCTCCTTGTAGTTTATACAATAGGTATACTGTTGGTTGATTGAATGAATGAGTGAGTGAATAAAGGTGAGTACAGTATGGATTTGTATAATGTTTTGTGTTCAGTATTGCTAAAACTCATAGCAATTATGCTAAAACTCACTAACAATGCATCTCTCATGTGTGGAGTAGTATAGAGGGGGAGAAGCATTATATTATGATGCAGTCAGTATACTTGTCTCCTTCTCAGTAGTTGGGTACATCACTTAAACCTTTTAGTATTCTAGGTATTTCATCAGTAATATGGAGATACTACCACTTTCATTGCTCATTTTGCGGTAGGTCAGTATACTGTAGTATAGACCACAGGTCATCAAACTATGGCCACATGCCAAATCCAGCTCACTGCCTGCTTTTGTAAATGTACCTTTATTGGAACACAGCTACGGTTGTGTTTACATACTATCTATGGCTGCTTCCACCCTACTGCAGCAGAGTTGTGTGGTTACAACAGAGACCATATGTGGCCTACAAAGCCTAAAATATGTACTATCAAGATTTTTACAGAAAAAGTCTGTGACTCCTGATCTATCTAGTGTTTTTTGTTGTTCAGGTCAAAATCAGTGGGTTGTAAATTCTGATTTATCGGTCATTACTACTATTTAAGTCAATCATAGCTAGCCTTAAAAAATAAATTAGAATAAAATAAAATAGAAAATAGTTTGGGTAGCTGGGCATGGTGGTGCACACCTGAAATCTCAGCTATTCTGGAGGTTAAGGTGGGAAGATCATTTGAGCCTAGTGGTTCAAGGTTGCAGTGGGCTATGATAATGCCACTGCACTCCAGCCTGGGTGACAGAGGGAGACCCTGTCTCTAAAAAATAAATAAGTAAAAATAGTTTGGGTGAATATTATTTTGTGAAGCCTTTCTTTCAGTTTTGGTAATGGTTTTAAATGGTTTAATATTATGGGTCATAGTCAAGGGTTTGAAAAACACTGCCCTAGACCAACAATGGCAAATACATGACCCCCAACTCCTTAGTTTTACATCCATTGATCTTGACATTCTTTTATATTGAGCCCTTAATCCTTCTTAATACAATTCTCTTCAGGCTAAAATTGATGAATGGGAAATTATAAAGAGTGCAGAGGTATAAAGTTACTTGTGTAAAAGGATATCATGGGCTACTGAGGACTCAGAGATCCACTGGAATGATCCATTGGAGTTAAAATGGTAACCAATGTAGCTTACTTTTCTGTCTTATAAAAACATGGAGAAAATGTGACAAAATTAGCAAAATAAAATATATGTACCAATATCATCTAAAAAATACTATCTTTAATAGCACAAAACAAAGCAAACATTTTCTTTACCCGTATAGGAAGTACGTTATCAGATATTGGAACATGTACCTTGTCTTAGAACTGTGGCTTTCAAACCATAGTTCATTGGACCTTAGGGTTTCTTTGCAAGATGTAGAAGGATAATGCAGTTTTGGAAGTCAGATTCTCTCACCTTAATTTTAGTTAGAGCAATTTCACTTTTATTAATGTATTAGGATTTCATGTAAGATTTTGTTTGAAAAAAGGGTTTGACAGCAGGAAAATATAAAAATATTGCCCAATTTTAAGACTAGTTGAAAGGAAAAATACCAAATAAAATAGTCTCTTGATTTTATTCCTTATGCCAGAGAAAAATATTAAAAAAAAACTAAGTATCAAAACTTTATAAAAGTTGAATCATAATTTCATGCATTTAATATTCCCTTTTTGTTTACTAACTACCTTCCCTTTCACTAAAATCCACCTTTACCCATTTTGTGATTTCTACAAGCCAAAATGAGAGCAAGTTGATGTTGTCCTCAGATTTATTGAATTGCAAATTGCCTGGATAGAAATTAATTTTAGGAAATCTGGCCTTAAATTCTCTTTTATCTTGTTTATGTCATTCTGTATTTTATAGCTGGATAAATGGTCGTACCCCCACATTAGTGGTTAATTACTTGATGTTGACCTCTAAGTCAGCTTTTTTCCTGAAAAGTCTGTAAACTTTTCAGAGCACCTTCAATCCAATCCTTTTATATTTAACATTTAATCAAAGACTTTAGAGTATATATAGACAACTTAGAAATTGTGAATGACACAAAGTATGGAATGTTAAGTGTGAAATATCAACAGATTTAAGCTTTTAAGAAAAAACGGGGCTGGGCAAGAGGGTGAATAGGATGGTAAAGGGTCTCAAAAAATGACGTAGGGTTGAAAAAACCAGAATTGTTTATTTAGAAGTATAGGACTAAGAGGGACATGGTGGTGTCTTCAAATATTTGATGGTATTTGCTGATCTTTCTGTTTAAAAAAGGGCTAAATTTTATTATGTATTGCTGCTGAGTTTGGAATTGAGTTTTAAAGGAGAAATTTACAGGTAGCAAATTTTGATTTATGATAAGCAAGAATTTTCTATCCCTTACAATTTGAACAATTAGTTCTTCAAAGCTTTTTTTTTTTTAAATCACTGGAAATATTTAGTCTGATGTTAGGTGTCATTGGAGCCATCTTTTATTTCAGTTTTTCTTTCTGGTCTTTTACATTACAATTCATGTATCCCACACCTTATCACAGTAAACATAAGAATCACCAAGGAGCTTGATAAAATGGCAAGTTTTGGCCTCCATCCTCAGAGATCTGACTGCAAAAAGTAAACAACTGTGTCTTTTGGTTAATGACTCAGTAAATCTTGATTCGGGCTCAGGATTCAGCCCCAGGTATTTTTATACAGTGGTCCAGAGACTATAATTTGAAAGACCTGGGCTTAGACAAAATATTATTCATATTTTTAATTTTTTGTGGAATGTCCCTCTCCCTTACCTTAATTCTCTCATCTCCTAACTGGTAAACTTTGAAAAAACATTTAAACTTTTTAAATGTTAAACTTTATATTTTGAGATAATTATAGATTCACATGCAGTTGTAAGAAATAATACAGAGATCCAAGGCAGCCTTTACCTTGTTTCTGCCAAAGGTAACATTTTACAGAACTATAGTATGGTACCACAACTAGGATAATGACCTTGGTACTATCTACCTGTCTTATCCAGATTTTACAGTTTTACTTATTGGTGTATTTATTTTTATACATTTTATCATTTGTAGATTCCTGAATGCACCACCATAGTCACGCTATAGTACAGTTCTGTCACCACAAATATTCTCCTGTTGGTGGTAGACAGTGGTGAGAAAAGTTGCAGACTAAGCCCATGTGAGAGATGGTTGACTCTGCAAAGCAGTCAGCTCTGTGAGGAAAGGCAATGTTAAATTTCTTTATCAGAATTAAGCCTGTGCCTTCACCGTAAAATTAGATTGCATTTTATAACAGTTCTTTTGAAAGAAAAGTGTCCTAGAAAAACACATGCCCTGTTAGAGACCTTGACATTAATTTTTCTCTAACTTAGTGCTGAACACAAAAACAAACGTTACTTTAATAAAAAATTGTGACTAAAACTAAGAGGATAACACATCAGTAATCCTGTATGCAAAGCCTATTTAAACATTTCCTGTTCTCAGTTAAATCTTTTTGTTTGCATTTTTAGTGTAATATGTATTACAGTTGTTTGCAATTAATTGTTGATTTGATTGTCTCTTTATCTCCTAAACTGTGAGCTCCTTGAGAACAATGACAATTTCTTATTCTCCTTTTTGTATTTGCAGTGCCTGGTATTTCACAGATTCAATAAATAATTTTTGAGTAAATGAATATGGGAAGCAACTATAATGTTAGGAAAGGAACATAAAGTGAAAACTGAAAAATAAGCCTTGTATTGGAGCTTGTAATATGGGACTCTAAATAATGTATACAGGAGACAATATTAGAACATTGTGCTTCTGTTCATGTATTCTCAAAACTAAGCAAGGTTTATGTTTATTATTTTAGTCAGCCTATGGAAGTGTTTTGACCTGATAATGCTTTTGGGAAATGAAAATTCATGACATTCTAGTATCCCAAGAGCTATAGATAAGATGTGCCAAGTGAACATTTGTGTGAATATATTTTAGGAAAGTTGCAAGGCAGAAATTATGATAACAGGTCTCTGGGGGCTGACACGGAGTTGGTTTTTCATTTTAAAATATCTTTTTAACAAGAAACTTCGTTAAACAAGCAGTTAGCTTTAGAAATAGAAATACTATGGGATTATTTGAATAATATGATACTCTTATTCAGACAAATGTATAAATGATATGAATGTTTTTCCAACTGAGTGAGAAGTCAGTCAGTCATCAGGACAGCTGAGATGCTCTAATAGATAAAGCTCAATGTAGAATTTTCTTCACAGGACTGCAGGTTAGCATTTCCCTTTAATATTTCATTGGTAGCCAGACGATAGGCTTCATTGATGATCAGGAAAGGCTATGTGTACATGAACATACCTTTGTATTTTTTAAATACTACTGAAATCACTATTATATTTTTATTATCTCTTGTAAAGGCCCACCAGCCAGATTTCTCTCTGGACTCAGAAAAATAATTTCTGGAGAATGTTTGTGTGTGTGCATTTTTTTAAGTTCAGTATGTTAAAATGGAAAGAATATAGGATTTAAGACAAAAGCCTGAACTTTAATCGAAACCTTGGGTAAAAG